CTCTGCACCCACCTCACTCACGCTCCGTCTCTATCTCTGTCTCTGTCTCTCTCAAAAATAAATACACATAAAAAAAAAAATTAAAGCACAGCCAGGACTGAAACATTTATCTCCAGTATCTTCTTGAGGACCTACCAGAAGACAGCTCCAAATTCTCCTAAAACTCTTTCCATAGAGCAATCCTCTCTCTCTTTCTCTCTCCTTCCCCCTCCCCTTTCCCCTCCCACTTTTTGTTTGTTGTTAAAGCTCTTGCTGTTTGATTCTGCTATGAGAAGCTTCTGCATTTATAGCCAAAAATATCCACTAAGGTGTGTCCCTAACAGAGTGTTCACCCCTTCATGGGTTTCTGTCCTCTTTTTAGGTTGACAAACTCAAACTACACCAATATTTTTTTTCTTCCCACTACATTTGTAAACTAACACAATGGCCAGCACATAATAAACATCCAATAAATAAGGAAGGAAGAGGGGCGCCTGGGTGGCTCAGTCGGTTAAGCGTCCAACTTCGGCTCAGGTCACGATCTCGCCGTATGTGAGTTCGAGCCCCGCGTCGGGCTCTGGGCTGACGGCTCAGAGCCTGGAGCCTGTTTCAGATTCTGTGTCTCCCTCTCTCTCTGCCCCTCCCCCGTTCATGCTCTGTCTCTCTCTGTCTCAAAAATAAATAAACGTTAAAAAAAAATTTTTTTTTTTTTAAAAAGAAAAGAAAAAATAAGGAAGGAAGATCTGAGATCAGGACACTGGAAAAATGGGACCAAAGACCTGGAGCCAGAAAGACCCTATTAAGCTTAAGAACTGAAGGAACCAGGCTGTAGAGAGGAAAAGAAAACCAAGTGGGACGTTAGCGAGTAGTATTATTAGTGTCTGCTTCCCCTGAAATCCAGGAAAAAGCAAAAAAGTGACTCCTTTGTTCCTCTTCCTGTGTTGACTCCGGGCAGGGGGAAATCCCAGAGACTGTGTGATCCTGCAGCCAGCATCTGTTGGCAAAGGAGACAAGAACACGCCATGGGGAAAAGGCAACGTCCTCAACAAATGGTGCTGGGAAAACTGGACAGCTACGCAAAAGAATGAAACTGGACCACTTTCTTATGCCAGACACAGACATAAATTCAAAATGGATTGAAGACCTCAGTGTGAGACCTGAAACCATAAAAATCCTAGACAAGAGCTCAGGCGGTAATTTCTCTGACATCGGCTAGAGCAACGTTTTTCTGGATATGTCTCCTGAGGCAAGGGAAACAAAAGCAAAAATAAACTAGTGGGACTACATCAAAATAAAAAGCTTTTGCCCGGCAAAGGAAACAACCAACAAAACTAAAAGGCAAACTACCAAATAGGAGAAATTTGCAAATGACATATCTAATAAAAGGCTAGTATCCAAAGTATATGAAAAACCTTATGCAGCTCAACGGCCAAAAAACAAATAATCCAATTAAAAAATGGACAAAAGCCATGAACAGACATTTCTCCAAAGAAGGGATCCCGATGTACCACGGACACATGAAAAAATGCTCGACCTCACTCATCATCAGGGAAATGCAAATCAAAACTTCACTGAGATATCACCCGTCAGAATGGCTAAAATAAAAAACTCAAGAAACAACAAGTGTCGGTGAGGATGTGGAGAAAAAGGAAGCCTTGTGCATTATTGGTAGGAATGCAAACTGATGCAGCCACTGTGGAGACTATGGAGGCTCCTCAAAAACTTAAAAATAGGGGCACCTGGGTCGCTCAATCGGTTGAGCATCTAACTCTTGATTTTGGCTCAGGTCATGAGCCCAGGGTCATGGGATTGAGCCCTGCATCCGGCTCTGAGCTGAGCGTGGAACCTGCCTGGGCTTTTCTCTCTTTCTCCCTCTGCCCCTTTTCCCTGCTCTTTCTCTCTAAACTAAAAAACAAAAAAATAAATAAATTTTAAAAAATGGAACTAGCCAATGATCCAGTAATTGCATTACTGGGTATTTATCCACAAAATCCAAAACACTAATTTTATCCACAAAATACAAAACATAGGATATATTATGCACACCTGTGTTTATTATAGCATTATTTACAAGAGCCAAGATATGGAAGCAACCCATGTCTAGCAATAGCTGAATGAATAAAGAAGATGTGATACACACACACGCATACACACACACACAATGGAACACACACACACACACACACACACACACACAGGAATATTACTCGGCCATGAAAAAGAATGATATCTCGCCATTTGCAACAACGTGGATGGTGCTGGAGTATGTTACGTTAAGTGAAATAAGTCAGTCAGAGAAAGACAAATACCATGTGATTTCACTCATGTGAAGAATTTAAGAAACAAAACAAACAAGCATAGAAAAAAAAGAGAGAGGGAAGCAAATCAAGAAACAGACTCTTAACTATAGAGAACAAACCGGTGGTCACAGAAGAGAGGTGGGGGGGGATGGGTGAGATAGGTGATGGGGATTAAGGAGGGCACTTGTTGTGATGAACACGGGTGATGTGTGGAAGTGTCGAATCACTGTATTGTACACCTGAAACGAATACAACGGTATGTTAACTATACTGGAGTTAAAAGACATAATGACATACAATTTAAGAAGAATGAGGATAAAAGCAATTTATTCATAAAAGGACCTGGCAGCCTCTGGACAGGACGTTCTATTTGCATTACTCTGCATGCAAAGCGTGTGCAAAGTGTTTCCTGTCCTCAGGCTTGATTGGCTAACCTTCGAAAAAGACTCCTGCGGAGACGGTTTGTGTAACTGATGTCCACATTCCCCTTTGCCTCCTGGGCATACAACCAAAACTACATTTCCCAGCCTGCCTTGCAGTTAAGGGAGGCCTTGGGACCTGCACCAGGGAAGGTGAGCAGAAAGGAGAACCGCTTCACAGGCCTGACCCCTAAACACTTCCCTACCTGCCACTCACTCTCTTGCTCCGTCTGCTGGCTGCCCAGAGAAGACGCTGACCACCCAGGCCGGGTGCCACCTTCTGAATGAGTAGCCTGAGTAACTCTGGGGGTGCCTCCCCCTGCCAAATAAACCCATTCCTTATGTAAAAAGTTTGGAGCTATTTGTCACTGCTTCTGACTAATTCAGAGACTGCGGTTACAACGTCTGTGTCTCTCCCGATCCTGGAGTCGCTCCCCAAGTTTCAGCTTGCCTTTAGAACTCCAGGCTCTCCGACTCCTTCTCCTGTTTTCCTTCTAGCCCATTCAGGTAACTAATCAGGCATAAAAACTAGGGCGATGAGGTGACACGAGAGTGGAAATCCATTCCAGACGTGTAAATTAGGCTTCCTGGCCTAGAAACTCTACTCGTGGGAATTTATCCTGAGAAGATTAATCAACAGAAGCAAAAAGATGTTCACTGAAGCAGTCAGCATGCTAACAAACTAATTAGAACCTGCCTAAATATTCAGCCATGGGGGAAAAGGTTAGTAAATTATGATCACTTCACTCGGCTAAAGATTATGAAGTAATTAAACATGACAATTAGGAAGTCTGTATAACAGGATGGAAGTTTTATTAACGCACTGTTAAGTGCAAAAAAGCAGATCATAAATTGTGTTTTCACAATAGTTAGCACGATAGTAATACGTAAAACTACATACGCGTGTGGATAAGGCAAGCACGAACAAGAAAATCAAAACAACTTGATTTGTCAGGATGCTTGAAATATGGGTATGCTTTTTCTTTCATTTCTGTAACTGCTAATGCATTTATAATGGCATTTACGCATAAAATTAAATTAAGCTCTCTCCCAAAACGATATTAGTGATGGGTTGGTTGAGGTGATTATCAAATCAAAGTAACTCATGGACCATTAGTTTCCCAGTAAGTATTTACATATTTAAAAGATGTTTCGAACTGATAGGAAGCATGAGAATAGATCCTTGGGCAGAGAGACCTACTGTCTCTTGTTTTACTTCCTGGAAATCAAGCCCAGTTGTAGGTCATTGGGGCAGAAAAAAAAAAAAAAAAACTCAAGGATCACTCATTTGCCTGAACTATTTCAGCCAACACTCAATCATGCAGGAAAAAGACAAAGTTCTAAGTTCTCAGTCCAGCCAATAAGACTTTTCAAGCTAGCCACTTTCTAATATATATTTTTTTAATGTTTGTTATTTACTTTTGAGAGAGAGACAGAGCGCGAGCAGGGGAGGGGCAGAGAGAGAGGGCGACGCAAAATCTGAAGCGGGCTCCCGGCTCCGAGTTGTCGGCACAGAGCCCGATGCGGGGCTCGAACTCACGAACCGTGAGATCATGACCCGAGCTGAAGTCGGACGCTCAACGGACTGCCCAGGTGCCCCTCAAGCTAGCCACTTTCTATTGGTCCGGGAAATAGAAATACCTCCCTAGATATTTTCAGCAAAAGGGATTCTCAGCCCAGAGAATTTGATGCTTGCTGAACACTTGAAAGAGGCTGAGGAAACAAAAGTCAGGGAAAGCTGTGGCTGGCTCTGAGACTTCCTTCTGGGTCTCAGAAGCAGGAAATCACAGCAGGCAGAGGAAACCAGCAATGATCCAGCTGGCTGCAGCCCCAGGGTCGGCGATCCCCAGAGGAAAACCTGGATCTCTGAAATGCCTCACATCTGCAAAGCCACGCCTGCCTGCATTACTACCAGGGAACAACGGCTTCCACCGACTTCCCACATTCCAAATCTTGCGCAAGTACCTCTGATGAGTGGAATCTGACACAGAACCCTGGCAAGAGATTCTGGAATATTCTAGCACCTAGACTTCCAGCCCTCTCAGTACAGGGTAGAGTAGCTAAAATGGAGAAGGGTGGTTAGCGGCCAATAGACGATCTGGCAAAACTGTCCTGGAAGTAAGAGGAACCACCTCCAACGCCTCCAACCCAAGAGTAGTTCAAAGAAAACTTTCTTGACCTTCAAGGTCTTAAAATAAAAGCCTTTTGCTTAGATCTCAGACAGGAAATAGGGTGTACCTGCCCATCCTCCTTCCCTCCTATGAGGGCAGCGGTAAACTTATGGTCAGAGCTTCCACAGCTGTTGGGCTGTCTCCTGCAGAAAAGAGTGAAGTAAAGACAGATGTCTTCTGTGGACCCACCCCAGCCGTTCAGTCACCACAGGGTCACTTACAACAGCTCAGGACTTGAATGGAAGAGCAAGGTTTGGTCTGACCCATTGTCTCTCAGACGGTTGAGAGAGGTCAACCACAATGACTCTGGCTTTATTTGAAAAACTGGTTATTCATGTGAATCTGTGCTTTGAAAAATCAGAGATGGCCATAGGGGCACTTGTACCCCAATGTTTATGAAAGGGCGGGCCTACGCCGGCCGACTCCATCTTGTTCTGTGTCCTTCACCTTGACCACACCTCCTCCCTTTGAGTAACCCCCCCTCACCTGCCTAACAGGACTCGGATCCTTCCCCAGGACCCTTCCCCAGCCAATCGGCTGAGGCCACAGCCATTACCTCACCAACTGCCCCCAGGCCCCAATAAAACCTTTGTCCTTTTGAAACTCGCTCTCTTTCCCTGGTATCTCACCGCTGCGTCGGTGCAGGTAGGGGATTGAGCTCGAGCTAGCTCGAATAAAGACTCTTTGCTTTTGCATCGGACTCGGCTCCCGAGTGGTCTTTGGGGATCACGAATTCTGGGCATAACAGTTTATAGCAGCAATCTCAACAGTAGCCAAATTATGGAAAGAGCCTAAATGTCCATCAACTGATGAATGGATAAAGAAATTGTGGCTTATATACACAATGGAGTACTACGTGGCAATGAGAAAGAATGAAATCTGGCCCTTTGTAGCAACGTGGATGGAGCTGGAGAGTGTGATGCTAAGTGAAATAAGCCATACAGAGAAAGACAGATACCATATGTTTTCACTCTTAGGTGGATCCTGAGAAACTTAACAGAAACCCATGGGGGAGGGGAAGAAAAAACAAAAAGAGAGAGGTTAGAGTGGGAGAGAGCCAAAGCATAAGAGACTCTTAAAAACTGAGAATAAACTGAGGGCTGTTGGGGGGGTGGGAAGGAGGGGAGGGTGGGTGATGGGTATTGAAGAGGGCATCTTTTGGGATGAGCACTGGGTGTTGTATGGAAACCAATTTGACAATAAATTTCATATATTTTTAAAAAATAATTAATTAAATAAAATAAAACTCAGAGATGGGGATGGGGATATATACGGTTGGTCAGTGCATAGCCCCGATTGGGCTTAGCCATGATGGCCACTGCCCAAGATTGGGTTTATTTTTGATTCCCTTCTTAGAAATGCCCAGATGCTTGGTCCATAGAAGTAAAACAATAACATCATAGCTAATATTCCTGAGAGCTGACTTATACAAGATAAAGTGCCATGTATTTTATATGTGTTTCATCTCATTAATTTTGGAAACAGCCTTAAGATAGGCACTACCATCAGACCCACTTGAGAAAATGGAGACTCACAATTTGCCCACGACCCCACAGCAGGCAAGCAGAAGAGCCACTTCAGACATTTCACTGATCTTCTAGTTTGTACAACAGGACTTCTGATTCTCTTTTCACCTCCCCACGTACATTTGCCTGACAGGGGGCTTTCCGACGCAGAAGACAATGGGAGATTCGTGTTCACTAACACTTTCCCGTAATAACGTTCAGGAAAAAAATAATAGGTTACTGGCCGGATGATGCATTTCTGTACATCGTGAGGGAGGGATGGTTCCTAAGTTCATTTTATCTTATTCTAGACCGGGAGCTCTAGGAAGGAGACAAGAACCGAGCCTCCATCCAGCTGAGGGTAAGTACAAAGATGACTGTGATAAACGTCACGCCCTGAGTCCATCCAGACTCAAACAGAATTGGAAAGCAATCCCTAGTGGGCTGGAAATGCAGATGTTAGAGCATGAAGTCTGCTCAACACAGTCCTTGGTGTCCCAAAGCCTTCCGCTGACTTCACAGGCGCCACCAGGAGGGCGTATGTGGCCCTGCCATATTCCTATGCTCCCCTCCCCACTCTGCCCACAGGCACACACATGTGTCCCTCCTCGGCCTCGATGGGAGCGTGGCCCAGACCTTGGGTTGGAGGGACTATATCACACCACTCCAGCAGGTGACAGGCACACCCTAGTCCATGGGCACGGCATCCCGTGAGTCGTGTAGTCCCCAGCCCGGCCCTGCCAGGGTGGATTCATTCAGTGAGGCGTCCAGATGGCGGACCAGACCAGCAGCCACACCCGGGCACTCGGTGCTCCTCGGCTGTCTGGGACAGTTCATTGTGGATGTGTCCATAATCCTCCCTGGAACGACACCCACAGAGAAGACAGTGCCACTCCAAGGAAGAGCCCTGGGCCAGCAGGGAGAACTCTGTGGAGGGGTAGCCGGCTGATTCAATGTCCCAGGAGAAATGAAAGGCGGCTTGGTACTCACCTCCTAACCAGAGGTGTAACAACAAAAAAATCGCAGGTACAGCTGGGACGCCGTGGAAACCACATGTGTGGATGGCCTGTGTCTCTTCCTCCCGGGTCAATGACAGGCCAGCAGAGGCATTTGCTCCGCCTCACCTTTTCAGGTGAGGCCTTTCCTACATCAAAGGTCTGCGAGCTAAACTGGGTCCCCAAGGCACAGCCTCAGAAAGGCAATCAGTGCTATTCACGACCCAAATGAGCCTCCTGGCTGCTTCAGGGTGACATTCATTTTGTGACCGGGGCAAAACCAGAATTAGGTTCTGTGCTTACCAGGGTTTGCACCAGCAGGGGTTGGAACAGGAGGCTCAGGCCTGAAGCCGTGAGCCCTGCAAGAAGGGGAGTGGGCAGGGAGGGCTTGTAGGGGGCGTGAGTCCTGTGGTGCAGGGCCAGGCCTGGCCGTTGCGGAGGCATGGGGTGCAGACACTCGCCTGTTTCATCTGTCCCCAGCCCACTCCGCATGCACCCTGTGCCCCCATCTGAATACACCACTCCCTCTCCTTCTTCCCCTTCATTTCCCCCAGCGGAGTGCCTTTGCCCCTTGTCTGCCTGCTCAGCTAGTTCCAGCTCTGCGAAGGGTTTCCTGAAACTCCCCCAGCCCAGCCCAGCCCAGTAAGGACTTCCTGCTCTGTATCCCCACAACACCAGCCACAGACCCCATTACGGCAGCTATCACATTGCTGTAATTATTTTAAATGCCTGTCTCCCCTGCTAATCCGCGAGCTCCCTGGGGCAAGGGCCATGTTCTATTCATCTTTCCACCCTTTGCATGGAGCCTGACATAATAGGCGTTCAAAAAGTCAAGTGAATGAATTAGAGAAAAAATTTCCTTGGATTCAGCTGAAAAGGCAATTGCAGTCATTTGAATTGTGCAATTTCCATTGTGTCGTCTTTGAAAAACAGTTTCACGTTTCCTCCTACTACAGATGACTCATTCCTGGGGCAGATAACGCATTTCTGAGGCCCAGAACTTCACTACATCAAATCTTTTGAAAACCTGTTTATTGGTGTTCTTAAAGACAAGAACATGACGAGCTTTCGTAATCCTTCACCTCAAGGTTGAGTGATAGAATACTAGAGATGTTTTGGAGTTCCTTTGCTTACTGCAAAGCATCCAAAGAGGAATGGGTGGGCGGATAATAAAAATAACAATACTAACATTAGCTGCAAGTACTGAGCGCTTAATAAATGGTAGTGAATGTTGGACATTTGTCTAAGTGATTGGCGTCCCTTATCTCGTTCAATCCACGTATAGAACCTTATGAGGTGGGCATGACTCTCCATTCAGATGAGGAAACTGAGAATCAGAAAATGTAGGTAACTTACAGGAAAGTGGCAGAGACAAGATTTGAACTCAGGTCCAACTCCACGATGGCCCTGCTGACAAATGACACCCCCATTCCTTCCAGGATGAGTAGAGAAGGCACACGCTGAACTTGGATGCCGATTTGTGACAACACAGCCCTCCTGCCCACGCATCCCCGGGGCATATGTGGTTTCAAGTGGACAGAGGTGCTGCCCCTCTTGAAACGCACATGACAACCTGCCAGTTCCATCCCACTGACCCCGTCTGTCCACCCATACATGGGTGCATAATGACCCTTTTCTGCTGGGAGCTGGGATTCTAGCTCACTGCTTAATTGCAATGTACCACTCCTTGTCCCGGCAGTACCATGGCAACAAGTAGCATTGGCACAAGAATCCACGGGGAGAAACGTTGCCTAGCAACAGAGTAGTAGGAAGAGCTTCCGCATTCTGGAGGCCTGAGTTCTAGTTCTGCTTCTGACTACCCGCGGCAATGTGGACAGGGCAGTGTTACAAGGTTGTGGCTATGGCTACGCGAAGAGCAGATCACTCCATGCCTGGAGGATTATTGTCAGGAGCACTATTTTGGGCAGCAAAACAGGCACATGGATCAAGCCAGACAGGGACAAATTTGAAGGACTCACCAGCTTACGTGACTTATTTCAGCTACTCTAAAAGGAGGATCAGTTGCTAGAAACTTTTTAAAAGGTCCTTAAGTAATATCAGATGAAAGTCTAAGTGTAGTTACCCTTTGACTCAGGAACTTCCCTTCTGGGAAATCCCAGCATATGCTCAAAAACATAGACCTACAAGGTGAAAACCAGCAAACAGCCTCCTGTGTTCACGGAAGACGGATATGATCCGTCAACACAACGCAACGCTGTGCAGAGGGTGAAAGGGTGGGGTAGGTCTTGATTCACCCACATGGAGAGAGGTCGAGAATACAATGTGTATAGAAGTGAAAGGAAATCATAGACACACACACAGATATCCATCCACAAATACACACATCAAAATGCCTCTCGGGAAGCCTGGAAGGAGCTGTAACAAACGGTTAGTTACCAACTTCTTGCCGCTCCCCGAAGAGGCCGCAGATGCTTTGGCTTCCCTACTTTTCCTATTTGCCAGTTTCGTCCGCCTGAAACAGTCATCTTTCGCACCTGTGAGAGCCCGCCCCTCCCTCCGAGCGCAGGTCAACCACGGATTCCACGGGGGCACTTCACGTTTCCCTCCGGTCTGTATTTCCTCTACCATGACGTTGGCATTTGTTTTCCTGTCTGACAGTCCCACAGACTGTGCCATCCCTGGGGAGAAAAATCACATCTCGTTCATCTTTGTTTCTGCAGGGCCTGCTCTGAGCCTGACAGCATGCCGAATTGAAACCATTACCTAAAAACATTGCCAGAAAGAAGAACAACGGCGGAAGCTCTGAGCCCCCGTTGCCCCAAAGGCGACCTCCCAAGCCATGCTTTTGTGACTCTCCTTGTCTTAGGAGGTGTGCTGTCGGAGGAAAGAAAAAAGTCGCGCGAAGGGAGAAAACTGGGTAGAATTTGCTTGAAACAAAAATCCAGAGGCATTGACGTCGGGAAGCCCCTCCCCAATCCGGACAGCAGGTGGCGCAAGCGACCAAGATTTCTTCAACCACCACCGAAGGAGGCCGCAAGGTAAAGCTTTTGGAAAGTCTGGGAAGGTGGGGGTATTATCCTGAGCCTCTCTTTCCACCGCCCGACTGGGGCACAAGACATAAAGACAGATATCATTGGTCTCCTCTAGGATTTCAGCTCCTAGATGTCTGGCTTTCCCACCTCTGTGTTCGACCCTCTTCCGTCCACCCTCACTGTGGCCCTATTTTGTTCTTTGAAAACCCATTCTTTGCTGGCGGACGTGAGCATTTCCATTTTCACCAGTGGCTGTGAATATTAGTAAAACCCTTAGGAAGGGCACTTTGGCAGTGCCTATGAAAAGGAGAACCCTGAGCCTAGAGGAGACAAGCAATGACTCAAGAGTTACTTAAAAAGAATTCTCTGCAATCATGGTTGGGATATTTATCATTGCTTGAAGTTCCTCCTCTGGAGGCAAGTCGATTATTTTAAAGGTAGATGAGGAAATGAACAAGTTACTGATATCATGCTTAATGTATATCTGAATTAGGATGAGGTCGTTATTTGGGTAAGCTTGGCAGTTATTGTCATAACTTTGTGTAATGGGTTTATTGATGGAAAAATGTTGGCATGGAAGAACGTAATAGCTAGATGGGCTAACTGAATGCTACTGTTGCCGAGGAGGGTGGTTATTTTGTTATTGTGCAAAATGTATTTATTCTTTCAACGAACATGTATTAAGCACTTAGTGTTTATGCAAAAATACCTGTGGAGTGACTACCACCTGCCGGGCACGGTGTCAGGTGCTAGGCATAAGATACCAACACACTCTCTGCCCTTGTGGAGCTTAAATGAGAAACAAACACATATGCGGCAAGTGGTTATAACTGCTATGCAAAAGAATAAGGCTATAAAACTGGGTGTTGTATGGAAACCAATTTGACAATAAATTTCATATATTGAAAAAAAAGAAAAAAAAGAATAAGGCTATAAAAATAGTGATTAAAGCTGTTATTTCAAATTAGGTGCTCATGTTCTATATTATGGGCTAGAGCTTTAATGTTGATCAAAATCAGACATGATTCCTCCCCCCCCCCCCCCCCCCCCAGCCTATTGTAGGTGGGGGAGAAAGCCACAACTCCAATCATGACACATATAATGGTCTACTGCTGTTAGTGCCATGAAGAAGTATATACATGGGGTTATGAGACTTTATTAAAGGGAAATTTTCCCTTGTTGGAAGGTCAGGGAAAATTTCCCCAAGGAAGTGATGCCTGCACTGATATGTGAAGCATAAGCGGAAGTTAACTAAGCCAAGGGTATGGAGAATATTCCAGGCAGAGGCAAGGGCTATGCAAAGGCCCTGGGGCAAAGGGGAACAAGGGAGAATAGGAAAGGGAAAGAAGGCTAGAGGGGCTAGAGGGAGAGAATGAATGAGATGAAGGGAAAAATGAAAGGAAGCCTGCAGGCTGCAGGCCCTGTTCATGATTTTTGTCATTGTCCTAAAACAAAGAAAAGTCACCATGGGTTTTAAGCAGTGTCGATGACCACTTCACAAAGATGCCTGTTGGGTGCTCTGTGAAGATGATTGGAGACACTCAGATGAAATATGGGATAGCCCAAACTATAGCAATAGTCTTTGCCAGCGGTCATGCTGACTTGAACTAGGGCATTGAGTTGGAGATCAAGATCAGTAGATAGATTTGGAAAAGCTTTGACAAGGGAAATGAAAGACCTTGGTGATTAATTGAAGATAGGATGTGTGAGATAAGGAGCTGACAAGCATGACCGTTAGGTTTCTGGCTTGTGCAAGGAGGTGATCAGTGGTGCTGTTTTCTAAGACAGAGAATAATACCAAGAGGATCGGGCTATCAGGGAGAGGGGGTTTGGCTTGGGGCCTGTTGAGTTCAAGTTGTCTTTGAGATTTCTATATGGAAATATCAAGTCAAGAGTTGGTTCTAAGGACCAGGAATTCAGAGAAGAGGTTGAGGGTGGAGATAGAAACGTCCATGTTCTCCACAGAGAGCTGAAGCTATGGGTAAGGATGTAATCACCTAGGAAGAGATTGTAGAGAGAGGGGGGAGGGACATCAGAACTTGATGGTGAGAATGAGAAGGGTAGACCTGAAGAGCGTATGGGGAAACCAGCGAAGAAACCAGGAGAATATTTTGTCTTTAAGGCCAAGGGAAGGGTGTTTCCAGAAGGTGCAAATGGTCAACAGGGTCAGCTGCTTCTTGACAGCAAGTGAGATGAGACTGGGTAGACGTCCCTTGGATTTCAGGACATGGGGGTCTCTGGTGACCCAAACTGGAGCTGATTTGGTGGCATACGGGGCCGGCATTGTATGTGGAATGGCATAGGGGAAAGGGCGGGGGGAGGAAAGAGGACAACGTTTTGGAGGAGCTTAACTGGAAAGGAAAGAAAGAAATGGATGGGGCCATGGTGTTGGATGAGCCATCCACAGATACTGGAGTCAGTCAGGCTGAAAGCAGGGATGACAATGGAAAGGAAGGGGATAGGCAGGTGCCCACACGTTCAGTGGATGAGGGGTAGTGATGGCGGCTGGAAGATGATGGCAACATGGCGGGGAATCCCAAGAACAGTGTTGCTGAATGGCAGAGAAACCATATTGTGGGACTATTGTTTGGGAACAAGAACAGCAACACCTTCCGGCCCTAGGACTGGGTGTGGAGGATGAGAAACCATGACTGGAGAGGGGCACAGGGTGTGTGGTGTCCTCAGGGCAAGTCAGCCTGCATTCGGAGGGAGTGGGAAATAGCACTTGGAGAAAAAGTTGGAGACCTCCAGTGGTTTGGTGATCGTGGAACAAGCAATTCCAGAGGGCTCAGTTGTAAGAGTTTGGGAGGTCAGGAGCTAGGTCAAAGGCAGGGAGGTCCAGGATGTGATGGGAGAAATGGACCATTAGCCAAAGGATGGCTAGATTACTTATACTTGGGTTATTGACTGAGTACAAGAGAGTATGACCGGCACGGAAGATTTTGTATCAACAACCTTTTTGAGGAGGGTGGGCACAAGGTCTACTGACTGCAGATGGGGTGGTCTGCAATCCCCTGAAACTCTAGGAACATCAAGCTAGATGGGCTGATAACAGCCACGGCCTTGCTGACCACGTGCTGTGGTCAGGAGGTGGATCGACAAGATAAAGATACTGCTCAAACCATTGTAAAAAGACTCCCCTAAAACCTCACCATCTCATAAATCAGAGCTTGTGAGTTTCTTTAGCTTGCCTTTCTGTCAGATTTGCGTTGGCTTTTTGTGTTCCTCCAATGTGCATAGT